CAGAAGAAAAGCATTAAAAGTTTATATACATACACATTTTAATGCCAGCAATTCCACAATAAGTATCAGAAAATTATAAGAATAATTAATCGCTTGCGATTATTGCCGTTCGTCAAAGTGCGGGATCGTCAAAGTTTTGTATTGACGTTGTATTTGTAATACGCACATTTTATTTATACATAAACTAAAAACAAAGTTATGAGCCAAACCTAAATCTATATTAGGATATGACTGCATTTGTATACCCATCCCGTTTACTCTGTAAAGTAATTACATGAGAGAAATCGAAATGACAGAGTTCGACTTTGATAGTGACCTTGTGATGCCTGATTTCCTCAATGGAAAAAGCGTGAGTCCGATTGCGTACTATGTATGTATGTGTACCAGATGAGACTGAATTGTCACCTGCAATGTCTGCTTGATCGATAAACTTTAGTCAAAATTCGATGATGCCAAGCTTCCCATGGAAGCTCCTGCTGATTTATTTTATAAAACAAAAATATACTTAACACTATATGTAGATTATGGATCTGTATACCGTTTCTCCAGATGAGGTTATTTTCTCAAGGTATTTTAATTTTTATGAGAAAAATCAAATTTTAAAATGTGCTAACTATAACCAGCGTTAGAAGCTGCCAGACGGAGAGCTTGATAGCAAAGATAAAAGGTTGTAAATTTTATAAGATCTTATCTGAGCTCACTTTTAATTCCAACTATCTTCTTATAAATGGAAACCATTATAAATATAAAAAAAAAAACATAAATTAAATTAAAACATAATAAAAAAAACTTAAACAAAAAATCATAATTCAAAGCCTCAACTTGCTACAAATTATTTTAATCGGTGAGTTCAACAACTCCAAATTCGGCGTTTCGAGATAATCAATAAAAACTTTTTAACGCTGGAACTACTTGACTCGTGGTTTCCAATGTATTTTTAATGGCAGTTTTTTGATAAAACAAAATGAACTTTCAATGACAGATGAAAAGTTGGTATGGACTTGTAAGGATTTTGCACTCAACCTGTATATGGGGCGTTCCGTACCAAAATGGACGGGGTTCACGCTTCATGTGTTTGCTTTGTTTCAAATTTTTAGGGTTAATGGATAAACATAAATAATAAATAAATATGAAATTTGGGCTTCATTAATACATTTTTAAAAACTTTACAGCACAAAAACAAAAACAAATCGATTGAATAGTTTTCCTGTTTTCGACAACGGGGCGAGGAAAAAATTTGAAAAAATTCACACATACACACACGAAATTCTCTATGACAAGAAATATTTAAAAAAAATTTAAAAATTTTCCACATACAAAATTTTTCATAAAGAAATAGTTTTTGAAAATATTTCTTCTCAAAAAAAAAAAATAAAAATAATGGTAGCTCTGGATATTGCGCAATATTTAAGTATAGTACTACGGGGTGCACTCTACAATAATTTGAGTTATGCATTTTTTTACACCGAAGTTGAGTAAAATGTGTACATACAAATTTAAAATTTTTTTGATTTTAAATAAAATGTTTCAGTGTAAGATAACAGTTAAAATGCTTTTAGAGAATTTGTAACTATACCAAAATGTTTTTAACCCAAAGAAAATATATAAATATCTCTTATTATACCCTACGAATACCTTAAAACCATTCCAACCGTTAGTTTACATTGAGAAATTATATGACTTTTCGACATTACGACGCGGACGACGTCTTGGGAATACCTTAGTTGTTTATTCAAAACAGAGGAAAAATACATCAAAACTGTTATCTCAATCATCATGTTCAGCATTTGTGATTTTCCATGATGTGATGTGGTAATAGAATTACAAATTTATAGTCTGAAGTATGAGACTTCCTGATGTCAATGAATTTTTTCTCCAATCCTAAGAGGTTATTTATGTTTCTTAATGTGGGTTGTTCTTATATTCCTTGAGCAACTTAAAAGCATACCAGATTAAATTTTTTTCATACAGGAACTGCCTATAGTTGACATAAAAAACGTTTCTTTCTTGCAACAATCACCCTAGGTACGTTCGCCGTTAAGTATCTACAGTACCGTAAAATCTTTGAAAAGGACTTTGAAATCCTACCGACGATATCACAATGCACTGTGCTATTACAACAACGCTTCAACGATGACGTATAACAAGTTCTATCTGCAGAAGGTGCCAGTATATCTCAGATCACGATTTAAGGGTGCGAAAGACAATCACTTGATTTGGCTTTACCCATCGTCAATCTATCGATATCAGCATCAATTACTTTCTTTTGTAACTGCCTGTAACAACCTTATATGTACATGTGTGTGTGTTTAATTGAGCTTTTGATATCCGTAAACCAATCAATAAATTGCTTCCGTTCATCGACATGCAAACAACGCTTGCGCAATCTCATCACTCACGCATACACACAGTAAGAGTGTATGGTAGTACTTTCAACGAAAAGGAAATTTGACCCACATACCATGCAGGCGGCAACCTAATTCACAATCTATTAAATGAAATCTGCAACTCGCCACTTCCAAGTATAACTATTCGCACCTACAAATTCGCAACGAATACTGTTTCAATTGCGATATGCAACTTAATTGCTTGCTGCCATTTGTAGTGGAAATTCAAATACAGTGCACTGCAGGTCCTTGCACTTTTGCAATGGCGCAAAACACCATAAAGCACTTCGTTGTACAGGCAAGAGCATGTATAGGCAAGTATGTACTAGTTACCAAGCAAGAGGTCGTAGTGTGTGTGCAGTTGAAGCGCGCTTAAAAACACGTGACCCAAATACGCGACGTGACCCACTCCAATAAATTTCATGTTATTTTCCAAAGCAATTTGTGGGTTGGGTCTATTGACCTGCTCGCTGACCACTCACGCTAGCTGACTTGGCCCACTGTGTGGCACAGTGGCACAGCGACTAAGTGGCATTCACTTATTTACTACATGCGCGCAACACGATTGCCGGTCGCACATAATTGCAATGACGGATGTGCGAATGGATGTTCGCCAGAATATATTAAAAAATACAGACATATGTATGCATATATGTGTGTGCTTTTAGAAGATGTCTGCGAGCTTGCAAGTGTGTGTGTGTGTGTCAGCATATAATTGAGGAAGCATAGAACTCGGCTACACGAAGAGGGAGTTAACTTACTTATCGTGACGACATGACAACGTCGCTTGCCTGTTGACTTATTTCCATATCCTGCCCCACTCTGCCGCGTGTGCACGAACATACATACAGTGAATCAATAAAGTTTAGGTACAGCGATTTTAATTACACTCTTTAGAAAAAACTGAGTATGCAGTTTTTTAGCGCATTCAATTTTGGTACATTTTCATTTTTTTATATGGAGAAAATGAACGACACCTTACAAAAAAAAAATTTGCCAAAAATTATTGGTAAGTCCTAGCTACCTCTGGCTGGCACATTATTGTAATAAAATTGAATGGGCTAAAAAAAACTGCATACTCAGTTTTTTCTAAAGAGTGTAATTAAAAAGTGCAGTATTTTAACGAAAATTTGCAGAATTTTCTTTAATTTTGCACAAGGTTTGGAGCTCTAATTTTTAGGGTATATGTTGTGGAATTAACCATATTTTTATAAAAAAAAAAATGCGAAAAATAAAATAATTAAAAAATAATAAAGTGCAAAAAAATCGCTGAATCGCTGTACCTAAACTTTATTGATTGACTGTACGTATTCCGCGCTCAATTCCATACAGCTGTGTATCTACCAGCCCTTTGCCAAGCACCACAAGGATGGCAGACAGCTCATGTTCTGCTTGTCATCACTACAACGACGTCGACGACGCGCCAGCAAGGATAACAACATATGGTTGTAATGTTGTGTTTTTCTAGTGTTTTTCGGAATTTATATGCAGACAAAAGCATAGAAAAAGCGCGCGAGAGAGAGAGTGAGTGAGAATGTGTCTGTGTGAATCAGTGCACGGACTTTAACACTTTATTGGTAGATCTACCAACTTATTAGCTATAGTATATTTTCTACCATTTTTACCAACAAAGGCTAAAAAACTACTTATTCTTTTTTGGGAAAGAAAGCAAAGAGACTTAAATGAATGCAGTGTAAGTGAAATTGCATTCGTGTCAGCTGTTCATGTAAATATTTTTCGTTTGCAATAATTTTGTGTGGGAGACTGCCAAACGAATGGGTTGCAAACTTCAACCATTTCAAATCTAATTTGAATCCAAAAACTTTGTAGCGCTGAGTGTATAAAATAAATAAAATAAAATAATAATAGAATAAAATTCGATTCGATATTTCTTTTTGAGATTGCGGCATTCGGTAGTGAGTTTGCTTTTTCAATTCAAATTCTATTGGAAAGAAAACAGCTGTCTTTTTAGTTCATTCGTTTTGAATCAAGGCAAATTCATATCAGGCCGTGGTACCGTGTTCGTTGTACGATTGTTGTGTTCTGATTGTCATTGTGCGTATAATTTGTTAGTGAAGTTTTAGCGCTGTCGCTATCATCTTATATGTATGAATTCGCCTCGATTCGAATCGAGTTTTATTCGATCACGGATGCCGTGATTCGGGCCCAGTTATATGTAGGTGAAGGTTTTTTGTTGAATCTTTTATTGACGTGAAATAAATTTTTTGTTGTATGATATAAAAATACATGCCTGATAGCAGGCGTACTAAAATAAAATTTTATGAATTCGCCATGTTTAAAAAAAAAACTGTTAAAAATTGTTTCGATTAAAAAGATCTACCAACTTCTACCATTTTCCCAAGTCCGTGCACTGGTGTGAATACATGTATGTTTTGCGAAAGCTTAGCACTTTATTATGGTCAGCATGGCAATCAGTTGGCATCAGACTCGCGGCGTGTAGAGAACTTTTGTGTTTGCGTGTGGATTTTCAGTGCTTACTCGTACATAAATACATACATATGTATGTATACATATATGAATTTGTGATTTTCCAGTGCATCTTTGTATAAAAATAAACTTTAAAGTTTAATTCAAAAAAATTTTTTTTCTCAGAACTGATGGCTTAAAAATGGTACACTCCAACGAAGATGCTCTCAATAAAATTCCACTGAAATCTGCTAGCGGCTTAGATGATGAGGAGAAAAATGGTGGAGAATTCACTAGTGATACAGCGGTGGCGGAGGAGGCGAGACGCGAACAAATGTAAGTGTAAAATAAATAATTGAACTAATTTTAGAAATATGTATGTAATGTGCACTTCAGTGTAAACACAGCAATAATAGAAGGTGTAATTTAAAAAAATAGTCTATTAAACAAATTCTAAAGCATAAAATTCGAAAATAAGATAAAATGTATTCTACCGTTAAAATAAAATTCTAGAATTGAGAAACTCAGCTCATAAGAAACGTTAAATAGAAAAGGCAACAACGTATTCCAAAAACTTCGTCGACATATCCAGTTAGAGCTGCGTCTATGTAGCTAGTCAGTTTTAGTAGGTACTGCATGAAGGAACACTCCTGAAAGCGGGTGTCCACTCATATCTCGGAAGGGAAACCACCCTGGCAGACGGCAGAGCTCTTTGATTTGAGGGCGTCCAGCAGACGACTCTTTAATAGGGCTCGTAAAAGTGGTTTGCCATCGGGCTGGGTACTTTATAAAGTCGCAAGTGCAAAATTGGAATAGCGAAGAAGAAGCCATGGACAATCTCTTGGAAAAAGCCCGGTAAGGGCTCTTATGCTTTCGCTAAGGTCTTCAGGACTCTGTCTTCGTTTTTGGTAAACGCCGAAAAGGCTGATTGTGCATTATGGACACCGAGAGGCCTTCAATAATACCATTTTGAAGGCAATAGTCAAGTGTTTTTATAATTTGGGGGTTGAAACCAACCTAACAAGGCACATTAACAGTGTACTTTCTGACAGAAGTGGAGTGGGGGAGCGCCTGCGCTCAGCGTAGAGTGCACTTTACAAGGCGGTGCTCGCCCTACCCCGCTCTGGATTGCAGGTGAAGATTTCTAGTTACCCTTTTTGATCTGACTCAACGTTTCCCAAACTTGGCAACTAGGTGGCCAGCCAACGATGGCCTCGCAGTCAACCCCAGCAAGACGGATCTGGTCTTGTTTACTAGGAACAACAAGCCGCCGATGTGGCTCTTCCCTCGTATGGGGGTTTCCATCTGCAGCTCTCAACCTTGCGCCTGATCTTGGATAAGACTCTGTCTGGGAATTCTACCATTGATACAGCACTGACAAATTTTCGCATAACTAGTCAATAATGATAGAATACAAGATTGCGCCCATAAGATAGGACCTTTGAGAATAATTTTTGTGTGACGTCACACTAGTGCAGTTGCGGGAGAGAAATGTCAAAACGCGAGCAATAATGCGGGAATAAGAAGGAATTATGCAAGAAAAACGTTACGTAAATTGCACAAGTGTGACATCATACAAACAGCGATTCTGTTAAATTCTCTGAGAGCGGAATACTAGTACCAGAAGGGCGCCGCCTTTGTTGTCTAAATCGTGATCATAAGTTATCTGCATTACCCACAGCAATGGCCACACTCTTCCAGTCTATAACTAGTCCACCATGATTAAGGCAAGCAAAAATATAAAAATCCCTGTTAGAAAATTTTAAGCTTTGAATATATATGGCAGTATTTCCAAAGGTCAATGAAATATCGCATAGTTATGATCCAACCAACAGGGGCGGTTCTATTGGTTATTTGCAGAATCTATTGTTGTCAGGATACACTAGTGCCGCAACGTAGCTAGATCTACTAATCAAACCCCCCAAGAAGAAGAGGGTGTAGACAATAATCGTTCTCCAAGGTTTTTGCGTATTGGCCGCAACAACTTCTTTTGTATATGCCTTCGTTTTACCCTTTTTTCGTTCGTTTTAAACTCTTCCGACAACGAGTTGTACCTACTAAGTAAAGCTCAGTTTAAAAAGCAAAGCTACCGCATTGGGGAAAATTATTCATTAAAGGTGTTCGCGCCAAAACGATACCGGCACACCATAGGTAGGAAGGGATGACGCGAAAAACCGCAATAGGTGCGTCGCCTTTTTCTCCGTGCCCAATTTAGAATTAACGGGCCGGCGCCAATTGGTCGGGCACCTACAACTGAGGCCCAATGCTTTCGCTACGCGTAGGCTATGATCCAACTTGTTGGTGCGCGCCGGGGCAGAATTAAGCGAGCGCTGAAGAGGGTAAAAAGAGTTATTGTTTCTGTATTTGTTTGGACGTATTTACTATTTTCGGTAGTTGTGGCCCTTTTGTATTCTCTATCGCATCCTTTTAGCATACCGCACCCATAGCCCAGTCTTTTGACGATCTAAAGCTACCCGGCAGCTTGGGAGGTATTGCGTGTGGGTTCGTAACGTTTTGGTTTGGACCTCACCTCGCGTGCACCTCAAAAATGTTTAGTTTAGTGTTAGTAGCTTGTACTAGGTCGTCTATTTGGTTAGACACTTACGTTTTTAGTTTTTTTTTCGGATCATCCTAATGTTGGTATTCTAAGTAAGTTTATTTACTTGTTCATTGGTGCTGTTCTTCCCACTGTCTCATTTAATACTTTGATCGCGCTTTAAATTTGTGTATTTCATTGTTGTGTCCGCACCAGCAGCCAAGCCGTTTCCACTGACTCAGCCCGTTGATAAATTTTTGTCATCTCTTTTTCTTTAGTGCCTTTGTTTATTTCAATTTTCTATTGTGTTGTTGTTGTTGCGTACTATAAATGCATCTACATTAGGTTGGTAGGCAAGTTTAAGAGCAAAAAGGTGGCAAGGTTTACAAGGCTACTTATACGTGGACAGTCATGTACTACTCGAGTGTGTTTTGAGGTTTCTCTACGAAGTAGTAGATTGCTTTCGAATTGGTTTATTGCAAAAAGAAACATTTTAACAATTCACTGGCGGGTTCACTAGTTGAATAATATTTTCACACTTCAGATCATTCAAAACTTGAAAAATTCCTATTGCATTCACCAACTTGGCGGGATTATAAATTTAGTATGATAGACTAGATGAGATAGGGGCCTAAACAAGGAGTCATGAAGTAATTGGAAATTCGCAAAATTATACAACGTGTCACAATCATAGTAATAGCTCGTCTAAAATATGCCTAATATTTTTTTTTTTTATTCGTGAATACAGTAATATTTTCTCAATTGTGTGACATGCTGCATATATGACTATTATTATAGTTTCCTGCCGAATTATGCATATAATTAAATAACTCATTGCATATATTGTCTACTTTTAGGCGCGCGAACATCCTCAAATGGATGAAAAAGTTAACGATAGTACTCATCTGCTTTATCGGTGTGGCACTCATCTCCTACGTTATTATCAGTCTATGCTTTAGCGGTAAGTAAATGCACTTACGTGTATTTGTATATATGTAATTCTTGTTTCTATGCACTTTTCATTCAAATGCACTTTGCTTTTATGTAAAAATTTACTTAGTGCATAGCTACTCTTATTTATTTACATACATACATAAATATATGCAATATAACTTGAGTGACAATTATTAAAATCAATGAAGCATAAATTATATCTACGCTCTTTTGCACTGTACAAATTAAAACACCTACCCTGTTACTGATAATTTGCATTGCATTTTTTTCTCTTTCATTCTGCCAACTCTTTCATTTTCCCCGCAAATAATAAAAAAAAATGCACGAAACCAAAACAAAAAAAAAACTATCAACATCACCACCTCCAACACAACCACCAACCACCAACCACCACCACCACTGTCACCATTAAAACCACTCCACAGATTGGTCTAAGACGTCAAATGCACAAAGCAAAAACAGTACAGCCATCGACAATGATACATCCTTCGCTCTTCCCTCCATCTCTAATTATTCTCTCTCGCCAGACGACGACAGCAACAGTAGTAAAAATGGCGCGCTAGCGTCAAACTCAACAAGTGACGACAGTGCTGAAGGCAGCACAATAGCCGAACTTACCACCACTACCATCGCCACTGCAGCCGGCAGCATCGCGATAGCCGGCTTCAGTGAGTCAGCAGCAACACAGCCCACTGACGCCCTCACCGCCACCGTCAGCGCCGAGCCACCAACGGCGCCAATATCCACCTCGGCTACTAACAATATGCCCACCACAGCTCAAAAAACCGCCAGTAGCCAAGCGAAACCAACGAGAAAGGCGCTGGTGCTCAAGGATACACCGCCATTGATAAAGGAGAAATTCGTATCGAAATTGGGTGTTTATGAGCAGGCGGCTGTGTGTTCAGATCGCGAAGTTTGCAGCGAAATTGGCAGGTGAGTGACGTAGTAAGAAGAAGAAGGGCCCGTTAGTTCAAACAAACATAT